ATATCAGAATTGATTTATGTTTCTGGCCAGGGTTTTGAATAATCTAGCCCTTTCTCTGATAATGGGTAAAGCTAAAAAGGGTCCAAAGTTTGCTGTTAGGAAGAAGATTGTCACTTCCAAAACAATAAAAAGGTGAGTTTTTTTCTTTCTCTTCCTTGGGTGTTGGTTCCTTCATCGGACTTGGTTTTATTGCTTGAAATCCTGTCAATTTCAGTTACAAAGAAGAGGTTTTGAACCCAGAAAAGAAGAATATTGTGAAGGAAAAGTTACCCAGAAACATGTAAGCTACTATTCTCACTCTTTGAACCTTGCCCCTTTTAATTGGTCCTGAATTTATTGTTTTTCTTCCTTTCTCTGTCGGTTAAATTTGTGGTTTGAATTTGTCTTGTTCAGTCCAAGTCATTCTTCGGCACTTTTCTTTCAATACAATACTGCCCTGGGACCTCCTTACCGGGTTTTAGTGGATACCAACTTCATCAATTTCTCAATCCAGAACAAAGTGAGTGTGCTTTGTTTTGTTTTAATTTATAGCCTTTTGCTTCTCTTTCGAATAAACAAATGGTAACTCTGACTATACACAGCTCAGATTTGTAATATTTGATATGTTTGCAACTATATGTAGATGACATGCCTTATTACATTTGATGCTCATGATATAAGATTATCACTGTTACATTATAAAAGTACTTAAGTATTTCGATTGTAATGGATTTTTTAGTTTGTCCCTTTCTCACACAATTTTTTTCTTTTTTTATGCAGTTGGATCTGGAGAAAGGGATGATGGACTGCTTGTATGCAAAATGTGAGTTTGAAGTAGATGATAACTTGTCTTAATTAATGTATTTAATTTTTTTTAGTTTAGCTGAATGCCGAGGTTACTATTAATTTTAGATATTGTGTTGTGATGTTCTTTGCTATTATTGAGAAGCTCATTTTTGTAATGTGGCATTGTATATGTGAATCAGACCTTCCATATTATATAATTACCTTTGTTCTATGGCTACTTTGGACTTTCAGGCACTCCTTGTATCACAGACTGTGTGATGGCAGAACTTGAGAAGTTAGGCCAAAAATATCGCGTAGCTCTAAGGTAGATGTTATGACTTGATTATTATAGATTTATATTCTTACATTTGAGATGTACATGTATAAGGTTGGCTCCCCCATTTTAGTGAGGTACCTAAATAAAATCAAATTTTTGTTTGCTTGCTAAGCTTGTCCATGCTTTCTGCATGTTTTGTTTTTCACTATCTGCTTTTATAAGTTAAGTTTAGGTCGGATAACAAACAATATTCTTTTGTATTTTCACTGCTAAAACCCTTTGTTTTTTCAAAAGATAAAAGATTCAAATATCCCACTTATAATTTTCATCCATTATGACATTCTCTTCAAGCTCAAGTACAAATTGTTTAAATTACAAAAGGTAAAATATCTTAAACAGATTTACGAAGGTCAAGCCTCTGGGCATATTTCTCATATAAGTTGCCTTCCAATATAGTAAAGAAAAGGATTATATTATTCTTGTTTCACCTTCTGGCTGTATTTATTTATCCCTTTAACACATAACAGGATTGCCAAGGATCCTCGATTTGAGAGAATACTATGTACTCATAAAGGGACGTATGCTGACGACTGCCTTGTTGAGAGAGTTACTCAGGTGTGATTTATTTTTAAGAGCTAAATGCTCAGAAGCATCTGGTAGCAATTTGATTATTAAGATTAATGATATTCCAAGCTGGATGAGAAATAGTCCATTTGCTGTTCTTTTTATGTGTATTATGATCATGAGGAATGAAAAAACAACTTTTCAACATCTTTTGTTCTATAATGAAGGCAAGGGCCAACACTAGAGGATTGTAAATTTGGTTCATTTCTAAACCCTTGTACAAATTTTCATTCATCTTATTCTATAATGAAGTCAAGGGCAATCATAAGAGGATGATAAATATGGTTGATTTCTAAACCCTTATACATTTTTTGTTACTGATAGATATCTTATTATGTGGGATTGTAATAGTTGAATCTATTAACTGTTTATGGTCATCTAAATCAGTAAACAAATGTCTACTGCTACTCTTGAGATGTAAAGTGAATAGAACATTGGTATACAAATGTCCCCTTCCATGTTGTAAATTGGAACTATGAAAAATTGTAGCAAATTTTTATTTTTGTTTTGAAATCATAGCCAAGAAATAGGTATCACGGACATTTAATCTCTTTATTCTTTATGTTAATAGAATTCATCTCCAAATTCTTTCGTTTTAAAACGTACATTCAGTATTCATTTTAAGTGAACTATTTTATTAAAATGATTTCGAATAAAAGCAATGATAGCACCCATTTGCTGCTTATATCTGTCTTCCCCTTCATTTATGCAAACTATTTTCTTGGAAACAGCACAAGTGCTACATTGTTGCAACATGTGATCGGGACTTGAAGAGGAGAATTCGGAAGGTAAAGTTACATTTATTTTTCATCTTCATTGTTTGATATTGGATTCTGATGCATAACCCATGAACTGAATTTCTGTATTACAGATTCCTGGTGTTCCAATAATGTACATCACCAAACACAGATATTCAATTGAGCGGTTGCCAGAAGCAACAATGGGTGGCGGTAAATACTCTTGTTTAGTGAAATTTATAATGATTGACTACGAATTTGAACTTAGACACCCAACTTTGCACAACTTTATTTATAAAATACGTAAATTAAGCTTCATTGACTTTTGTTCATCAACTCCTAAGCTGTTCTTTATTTACGATGTTTACTCGTGAGCTTCAAATTGCCACCTGCATATCTTGAATTCATGTGGAAATAGATAATAACCGTAGGTTTTTTGTACTGTCAATTACCCTGGTAAGTATGATCTACTATAATCATAATAGAAGAAATCTACAGAACCTATTTTTCTTACATATGACTAAAGCTAAGTTTCAGCTTAGATTAAAGTTAAATTTGTGGGGAAGCTTAACAAATTTTTGCCTTTTTGCACCGGAATTTAGTTGATTTCATTGACACTCTCAAATTAAATGTAATTTTTAGTTGTTGATGATGAAATTTCATCAATTCTTTAGGTAGTCATGAATGGAAATGAATTATTAATTCATCATTTAGGTAGTCTTGTATATATTTGACACTCAAACTGACGTACTTTTGATTCTCAATGCAGCACCAAGAATTTGATGCAGTCAAACTAAAACTGGTAAGACTTGCTATACCAAAAGTATGGACACCAAGAAGTATGAAATCCTGCTACAATACCTGCATGCTTGGTCTTTTTGCTGGCTGGAATTAATACTACCGGAAGCTTGAGAATGAATAAAAAGCAACTCTTCAATGGATACCTGAGTTTTTCTTAGTCTAACTTATAGGTGTAGAATTGTTCAAATTTTTGGTTTCCTCATATTTTGCCCATCTAATGTATCATGGTCAGCAGAATTCTTGAAACGATGTTTTTTTTATTGCTAGAGAAGGACCTTATTTTCCTTGAATCTAATATGTATTGGTTGATCCTTCACATGTCAGAAGACTGAAGCAGAAAGTAGAAAATTCAAGACTACTTTACCTCTTTAAAAACTACTAGCTCCAAAAAAAAATTGTTTCAAATTTTTTGTTTAATTATATATATCATATATAATTACTATAATTACACTCATTATTAGACGTAAATTATTCTGAACAGGTCATTTGATTAAACTTGTTTGCTTAATAACTTCAACTGGGTGTATGTATAACCTTCAATTCAACATGTTATATTTCATGTCAAATAAAGTGCTACAGGGCATAAAACAAAAATTGCTACGAATTGATTTCATTTTATGTTTAAAAGTGTCTATATTACAAAATTCTTCAACGTTTTATAGATGTTTAGAAATGTATAAAAGCAAGAAATGAGATTTACCTATGGATTCTGTATCGAGTTATACGTTACTTGTATAATAGGGTAGCTATTAGTATGAGAACTTCAAGAATATGAAAACAAAAGTTATTGATATGCTTGTTCAATTTAATTTTGGATGTGCTTGTTAAGGTTTACAAAAAAAGTATACCCTATTGCATTTGTTTTTATGGTTGAATTGGTTTTTGATTAAGTAATGGAATTAACTAACAATATCTTTGAATATTAGAGGAAGACTTCGGAAATAAAATATTTCCGTCTAAATTGAAGTAAGAAACATAATATATATTAAAAAGTTATCATTACGTGAGAAATTTGACTTGAGGGATGAAAACGGAAGTTTGACTATCATATTTTTATTTTTTAAAGTAAAAATTTGTTTTTATTTTCATATTTAACGAGTTTGAAATTTTGTATTATTTTTATTGTTTCAAACATTAATTAAATATTAAAAAACATTAATTAAATATTAAAAAAACAATGAAATAAAAATAATAATATCAAGGATTTAATGTAATAAAAGGACACATGATTTCAAGAGTTTATATATTTGATTTAATAAAATTAAGATTTGTTTTTCATAAGATGTAATAAATTATTTGAACTTAATTACACAAAAAAAAAATAGTAAATTATAAGAGTTTTAGTAATTAAAACCGAGAGAATGTATGAAATGAAAATGAATATAAAAATATATATAAGACAAAAGCTAGACAAATAATATAAAAGTAGATATAGACATGCACATATTTCTCATATCGACTCAATAAAAAAAATGAGAACTACTCATACTTATATCATGTTGATACTAAAATTTTCTATCAAAACCATTACACTACAAATGAATTTATTGGTTATCCCTGGTCTAAAAGTTCCCTTCCTTTCTTTTCCACACAACCTTTTAAAATAATAGAAATATAGTTTTAATATAATAAAAATATTTATTAATTAGTTTAAGAATCATAAATTTGAAATCTGAGGAGAACCACAATATTTATTATGAGGGAAAAATGCATTTATTTTATTGAATCTCCAATGTGCACTTTGATTTAATTTATGAGTTGCAGTGGGACATATAAAATGGGAGAATATTAATTCCAACAGGTTTTTTTGTCTCTATAGAGTGAGGTATCAGCAGCGACGCGCGAGGGGGAGGTGGAGTGCGGGTGAGGGTAAGCGTTCCGTTAGTTACGTTAAGGTGTTATCGAGTTTGGTACATGGACGAAGTGATGACCATGGCGGATGTCGCAGCCAACACGCAAGGATCAACCACCGCCTCTTCTTCCCTCCCTTCCAATTTCCCTCTCATCTCCGCCTTCCTCTCCTTTGCCCTCGCACAGTTCCTCAAGATCTTCACCACCTGGTGCGTTCCTCCGTTTCTTACACTTCCACCAACGCGTAACGTTTCTTCTCTCTTTTTCTCTCGCGCCATTAAGTCAAACTCGATTATCTGCTTTACCGCTGTTATTTTCCTCGTCCGTTAGATCAGAGCGTTGTGATAACAAAAGCGCGCGTGCTAGCGTGTTTTAATAGGATCCAGCATGTTACTCGCTGTTTTACGCCTGCCTTGCTAATATCTGTGTTTTCGTCGATAATTCGTGTATCGGTGTTGTGTATTTGGGTAAGGATTGTTGAGATTTGAGTTTTAGGGTTTGGAATTAAAGTACTGTCCGTACTCTGGATAGTGGAGTATTGGGGATGAATCAATCCGTTGGGAGTTATGATCTCTGTGTGCCTATAGATATGCTTTTCTTAGCAATTTTTTTCTTATCTGAGAAATCGAATATTTTATTTTGTATTGTAGGGATTGGATTCTGAAGCGCTGTTTGGTTTATTTTTTTTATATAAGTACTAATTGGAAAAGAAAATGCAATAAGGTTCTTTCGAGTTATAAAAATTAGCTTAATGAATAAGCTAAAATCAGTTTTCTGAAGAAGTTAAAGGAGATAAACTTTTCTGAAAAACTGAGTTTAATTTATGCATAAGTCCATTTTATTTTATGATAGAAGTTTATTTAATTTTATCTTACCAGAAAACATAAGAACATGAGTAGAATATAGTGTTTAAGCTGGTAGTTTTACTAGCGCGAAATGAAATGTGAATCATATCTAGTTAAAGTTGTGTGCACGTGTTTGCTGACATCTCGTAAATTTTTGGACGTTTGGCTACATTGTACTGTACCTTTTTTTTTCTTTAGAACTGGATTTTTTCTTTGGGCTGAATTGTATGAGATTGGAAATATGAGCTCAAATTTTTGCAAAACTTTTCTCCTAGATATTCAGGTATAAGGAAAAGCGATGGGATTCTAAAAGGATGCTTGATTCGGGTGGAATGCCTTCGTCACATTCTGCAACGGTGTCGGCTCTGGCTGTTGCTATAGGTCTCCAAGAAGGGGCAGGGTCATCTGCATTTGCTGTTGCCGTTGTCTTGGCATGTATTGTATGTATGCTGTATTGTCTTGTTTGTATTCAAATATTATTTTTTATTTTTCATTTTTTTGGTGTTGACATGTCTGGAAATATGTCCATACTTTTACGCTGCTTTCTTGTTTTTAGTCTGAATAAGTTTTATTAATTAATTAATAACTATGATTTAATGTTTTAAGAAGCCATAGTATGTTGCAGCATTCAGAACAAAATTTATAGTAGCCTACATAAATTGGGATTTAGAAGAGAGAAAAAGGGTTCATTTGGTATGAATCTCTATCTTTTGAGTCGTCTGTTGCCCTAAATACAAATTATTCCACATGTTCTGAAAAACAACTCCACCTGTAGATTTATTTACCACTTTCATTGTTATGATGCTTCCATTGGTGGAGCATTAAAGAATACATGGTATATGTTGGGAATTTACTATGAGATTGATTTAATCTCTCAATGTTATTAGTTCTTATGTTAGTAACGTATTCTTATATCTTGTAAAATACGTTTACCGAGGAGGATTCTATAATATGCTGATTGTTATTTCCATCATAATCCTTTCACTAAAAGAAGTAAGGAGTGTTTTGACCACTTTGCCGTGCTTCCTTATCTTTGGTATTATAATTTGTTCAAGATGATTTTTATCCGAGCTTGGAAATGCAGTGTCTTTGCTGGTCCCGGTCTTTACTACAGTCGAGTGGGATGATTAAGTTTTGGGTAACATTTGTAGGTTATGTATGATGCGTCAGGAGTTAGACTTCATGCAGGTCGGCAAGCAGAAGTAAGTTTTTATAGATGATGCTAGTGTTTTTCTCTTGCTTTACACTTTGCCATTAGTTTATATATACATGTACATTTTATACGTTGCTTCTGTGACGTACTGCAGTTGCTTAATCAAATTGTGTGCGAACTACCTCCTGAACATCCTTTGTCGAATGTCAGACCGCTGCGTGATTCACTTGGTCATACTCCATTTCAGGTGCGTTGGGCTTTTTCCCTTGCTTAAGGAGCTTACTTGTTATGATTGATGTAAACTCTTTACTCCTCTGTTTGCTAGACAGCATTTTCCTTCAATGTTCATTCACAAGTATATATGTTGTCGTTGATTGCGTATTTATGACCAATACCATAGCCAAGAACCGCATATAGCCATCCGTACCTTTCATAGTCCAATCTCAATGTTTATGTTAGATAGTTGCTTAACATTATTGGTCCACTAATATCTTATTATATCTGATTGTGCACACGTTTTTCATCATCAGAGACAACTGTTTTCTTTGGTACAGGTTGTTGCTGGTGGGGTATTGGGATGCATTATAGCATTTCTTATGAGAAAATCAAATTAAGATCCTTGTGATGTGGCTGATACTAGTCTTCAGTGTCAAAATTGTCGGTGCATGAACGAAACGAGAGCATCATGGAAAGGATATAAAAAGCTGTTGATGCAAGTATGCAAGTGTATAAAGTGCTTTGATGGTTCCTGTGGGAGATCCTGCGTCCAGACTTTTGGACATTCAGATTTCTCTTGTACACATTAATTAATCGTTTTGTTAGTCCTGTCTTAATTGATCGTTACACAATTTGGGATCACACTGGCTATTCTTTGGCTTGTTGCAAAGCACTCAAGGTTGCATTTTATATTTTAAGTAGATTAATACTTATGTTTCTGCATGGTTATCACAATTTTGTTTTTCAAGTTTTTAGCATCTGAATTATTCTGTGTCATTTTGATTGGTTGGCCGAGTTTATGGAGTAGTAGCTATTAACATTTTATTGCTAATTTGATTGTCATAAATGGATCACTCTTTGAAGCTAATATTTTAAAGAATAAATTACTAATTAATAATTAAAATATTTTAAAGAATGAGTTGAAAAGTATGTTTTCAACATTAAAAATATTTTAAAGAATGGATTTGAGAATATTTTTATTAGGAATGTTTCTGAAAGCATCCCTTAACATTTTTAAATATCATTTGAAATTTACTGGAATTTTGTTAAAATGGGTAATCCAGTTCGATTTGATACGGTCCATCACGAGTTGATCACTTAGTGAGTCAATCCAACTTAGTTCACTTATTAGTAAGTCAAAAAAAATTGGATTCGGTCTGATTTACAATAGGTTAGTGGGTTAAACAGGTTGACTAACTAATTCACTTAATTACAATTTTTTTCTTAAATTAAATAAAAATTATCATGTTTTTGTAATTTAAATATAAATAAAATTTATTTTAAAATGATGTTAAACTCCAAAGACAATTCAAAATAAAAAAAGTAGTATACAATCCAAATGTAATTCAAAAATAAATACAAAAAGCGAACAAATAAGTTCCTAATATTAATAATTTTTGTGTCACTTATCCATTCATAAGATTAGAGTATTGAATGAATAAATTCATAATATTTTGTTCTTTTGAAACATACTTTTTTAATCCCAACTATAATATAATAAAAAAAAGTGTTAGTGAGTCGAGTTTTAAGTGAGCTAGAATGAAAACTGATTCTCTTAAAAAAATTAACAATTTTTTCAAACTCAATCCAAACCTATGATAAGTCAGGTTGACTCACAAGTTTTAACTGATTTTGACAATAGTAACTGAAATGCATTCCTTAATTGGTCTATCTGTCATCTATTTAGTACACTTGATTGGTGAAAGAAGAAGAAAATTAAAGAAAAAATAGAGTAGAAACTAAGATTGTTTGTAGGAAGAAAATAAGTCAAAAGTGAAGTATTTTGGATCACAAAAAAGAAAATGTATAAAGTGAGTAGAAACTCGATAGAAATGTGAAAAAATAATTTTTCTTATATTTAGAAAGACATTTTTAAAAGTAATTTGATATGAAAATATTTTGAAAATTATAAATTAGAATGAAAATAATTGTTAAATTAAAATTAAAAATATTTTCAAATTTCAATGGCCAAAAATGTTATATTTTAAAATAATAATATATTAAAGTAAAATAATTTAAAAGATATAAATTTTAAAATAATTTATTTGTTTATGTTTTATTATATTATTTTTGTTTTAAATATTTATTATATTATAATATAAAATATAAGAACTTATATATATACATATATATATATATATATATATATATATATATATATATATATTACAGTGAACATAATCTATTAATGTTAAAATTTGAAATTTTTATTGTATTTTACTCTTTCTCTTCTCATTTTTTTTTCGCTTTCCCATATCTATATTGAGATCTAATAAAAGAAATCTGTTTACAAGTAATAAAACTTCCAACGAAGAGAAAAACTTATGAAATTTCTGGAAAATAAAATGATAAATTTCTTTCTGGTTAAACTACTTATTTTATACTACATTTTTAAAGTTTCTTTCTCGTTTACTTGTTAAAATCTCGCGTGGATCACATGTGTAAATTTAATTTGATTTTTTTTGCACAGTACGCTAGATGTAATTTAGTTTGAATATTATGAGTTGAATGTCTTGTTTATTGTATTTGAGTAGGAAAACATTGTCCAACAAAATCTAATAACAAATTAATGAAGTAATAATAATATATATAATAATCACGGGTCATATACAATATGTCATCCCATACATACATGGGTAGAATTGAACTTTATCGTACTCAGACCTGATTAAAATAATTTGAGTTAAATTGAGCTGAATTTTTATCATTCTTTTACCAAACTTAAAGGAAAGAAGTAATCATAAGATTTTTAAAAAATATTATTTAATTAAGAAGTAACAACACTAATATTCATGTTCTCATATCCATGGATCATTTCGATTAATGTTAACTCCTTGTAAATAATAATTTGTAAAGTTGGAGTATCTTTCAAGAGATTTGTACATGTATGGTTAATCCTGTATTTTTATTGTACCGTAATTGGATGATAATGAGGTTAGACAGTTTAAAGACGTAAAATATCAGAAACAAAACATAATCTCGATAATTTGAGAAGGATCGGACGGACATGTGAAGGACAAGACAAATATGAGAATGACCTGACAATCTATCTTGGTAATCAAGTTCTTCTTAGAGTAAAGTCAAAGGTAAGTATTGATTAACTGTAATGGGATGAGGTTAAGCCGTAATTAAGGTTTCACTCATCTCAAGTTCATCTCAATAATATAAATGGAAGTCAAAGGTAAGAGGTATGTGATCGTATTTACTATGCATTTAAGATTATTGCTCTAACCCGTACAAACGACTTATTAACTTAAGAATCGGAGTATCTTTGGCAGGTATCCTAGTCAGTTAGAGCGAACGCGAAAACAGAACAAAGATATAATTATCCAGACAGTTCTGAAAAAAAACTGTGAAAGTATTTGTAGAAGTTAATCAACCCTTCACCTGAAACATTTACTAATTCAAATTATGAGTACAGACATAATTTCATTCAAATTTTTCCAATAATTTCACATTACTAAATTAAAGTTAATATTATATGATCTACTCAAAAGTTTATTGAGATTGAATTTCATAAAACAATATTAATGAATCACTTTAAACAATATATTTTTAATATAACTACATTTATTTAAATTCACAGGTTCTAATTTTTTTAAAACAATTTATAAATCTTAATTTGAAAATACTATCCTTTAATTATTTTAAAACAAAATTTACATTAGAAAAATATGTTTAGAATAACCAATACATTATAACTTATGTCTAAAATCACACATTTAAGTTATTCGATCCTTACTCAAGTTTTAAATCACTTTTCAATCTTTAAATACTATAACACAATATTCATGAAAAAAATATGTATTACAAAGATAAAGTCTAGACTTGAGTTACATCACATCCAACCTTAATAAATGAGAAAATTAGTTACTTCTATATGCTTTGAGCCTAAAAATATATGAAAAAGTGGAATGAATGGATGAAAATGGACAAGGTTCTCGATCTATTGGTGCATCTATGCCTTTGTATTGTATTTGGATGAAGTGGCATTCTCTTAATAACTAATAACACGCAGTAACATTTACTCATTTTTTATAAACTATGTTACTAATTCCAAATTACTTAGAGTTAAAACAAACAATTTTAGAAATTTAGATATAATTACAATATATTATTATCGTATATTTTTAGTTTATATAATAGAAAACTAAAGCAAATAAAAAATAAATAAAACATCTTCAAATGATATAATAGGCACATAAATAATTAATATAACTAAATTTTCTTAATATGCAAAAGAGTATTATTTCTTCATAGTTAAAGATGATCATCTTCAACATTATTTTTAAAATGTATTTTTAAGTCATTTATTTATTATCTTTTCGTTCCTTTTCTCTTTCTCTCTCGATTTTCAATATAAATCGGTCATCCAAGTATCATCATCTTCCTTATTGTTCCCATTAAATTGTGAGAAGCAATGTTTGAAGTCTAGGAACTATAATTATTACTTCCAACCTACATATAAATGTTTAAACAACTTATAAATAAAGAAAAAATATTTTGATACATAAAGTTTGTTGACATCTAATTGACATTATTTTTTTAAAATATAAAAATTTCTTTTTCTATAACTATTTTATTTTTTATAATATAGGTAAAATGAATATAAATTTTAAATATCCTAACCCGTATGCATCCTATTAAAATTGAATTCAAATTTTAGAAAATGGAGGGAAAGTAGATAGTTTATTTTCTGGTACCAAACAATTGCATGAATCCTATATTTCAATGGCGGAAACCTTAAGCCCTAATCCAACGATGGCCCACAAAAAGAGGGTTCCCATGTCCGCTCGTATGCAGTCTCCGACAAGTGCCTTCTTCATGGGCTCCAACGACGACCAGCTCGAACGGGCCCAGGCTCGTGCAGCCCGCGCCGCTGCCATCCGCCACAACTCCATTGCCGTCAACTTCCATTCGCACCCTCCCAAGTCTCCTTCCTTTCTCAACAAGCACCAGATTCTCGAGTTTTTCCACAACTGCATAAAGCTCGCTTCCGAAAATGTAATCGTCAAAATCGTTTTGTTGATTTGTTTTCCTTATTTTTTATTGGTTTTGGTCTGAGGGGAAGTCTATTTTGTTTTGGGCAGAAAATTAATCAGAAAAACACGTGGGAGTTGGATTTGATCGATCATCTCACTGATATTATTAGGGTTGAAGAAGGGAATCACGTGGAGACTAATTTTCAAATAGTATGTTCTGCTTGCTACCTGATTTGTTTGTTCTTTTGTTTGGTTTTGTTGGTTCTGATTTTCTGAACTGTGCCTCTTTTAGTACATTTATGTGATTATTAATTACATTATTTCTATAAAGTTGATTTGGAGAAACCCATTCTCAAAGAGAAATAATTATTTTTCTTAAACTTATCTCAATAGACTGTCAAAGATGTTATTATTTTTCCACAATAAGCTAACATTTTGAATTCAGTTTTTTTTTTCGCACATCCACCTTGACTTGCATGTGTAAATCTACATTAACGAGACATCTGTGTCACTAGAAGCAGGATGCTTATATACATCAATGTTACGTTCCTCCTTTTTTCCTGGGCAGGCAAGCTGCACTCTTGAAGCTGGAGTCAGAATATATTCCTTGAGGGTGGATTCGGTGCACTCGGATGCATATAAAGTTCTGGCTGGAATGAATAGAGCAGGCCAAGATACCCAGGAAGGTTACTATAAGTACCCTCTTATCAAGCCAATTTATTCTGAACATTTTTTGCCCTTTTATAACGATATAGGCTGTCCTTTGCTTTGCAAATGGGGGTCATGGGAATTTTTTTTCCTTAATTGTATCACGAGTTATCTAATCCTACTTGAAAGTTTGGTATCTTAAGAATGTATGAACCACGAATGGCCGCGGTATGCACTCTAAACATAACTGTCGGTATGTTAACTTTTTTATTCTTTAATAGTTTCTAATGCACAGTGTCATGGTCTTCAGGCGCTACTTTAGGGAGTGTTAATACTGAAAATGGAGAGGCAAGCAGGAAGGAAGTTGAGAAAAAGGTTAATAATCTAGATCATTGGATTGAGATCATGCATTTTGCTAACTTCAAGCGGTGTTTGTCCATGCAGTTGTCGCATTTGTCAACATTGGAATCATCTTTTGAGGTTCTTAATGTAAAGAAGTTTGACGGTGATCTCAAATCTCTTTCTGTTTGTCACTTGTTTGTCATGTGGGACAGAGACTGTGCTGACAATGTATTTGTTCAGTTGCATTTGCGGTGGATCCACTCTATCACCATACATCAGCAAAATTTGATGAAGGTGGAGCCAAAGGCCTTTTGATGAATAATCTTGGTGTATATGGTAAATGTAGGGTGCTCTTTGATTCACTAGAAGTGCCGCCGAAGTGCATAACTAGTCAAAATGATCATGATATTTCAGATACAATTGATCTTTCTTTCGCTAGAGGTATATTGATCTTTTAAATGGAGTAGCAAAACTGGTGTAACATAACAAATGCGAATATTCTGCATAGATCGGAGACTTAGTTATCTTTACTCTTGTATAGATTGTGTTGAACAGATGATATTGAATATGCATACGAAGGATGCAATCTCTCCAACTCTCAGGATAATAGTAAACCAATCTGATGAAAATAATGGAAGGCCTTTTGATTTTCAATCTTCTGGCGAGAAATCAGCTGAAGAGTTTGATGCCGCTATTGATTGTGAACTTGCCATTGGAAAAAAAGGATATGAGAACTGCTCATCTTGGAGTTATGATCACGATAGCCAAACATTTGCTGCTGAATGGGGCTTTAGTGACGCAGACCCTAGTTTTCCAAGTTACCATGAGGTTTTGTAATGCTTCAGCCATACAACACCAATGCCTGTCTTGGCAGATATGTTAAAAGATTAATTTTTGTTGTTACATCAACTGTTTGATGGGCCTTATATCTCATTGTAGGAAAAAGAACCTAATATGGATGATATATTTGACAATGTTGATGGATATTTATTTTTGAGTCTGGGTTTTAGGTCAAAGAAAAATTCATGGGCAGGCGCTGATCATTGGAAATATCAAAAAGTTCAAGGTATGGTATAGGAGGCAGTTAGAGATTGTAATGACTAGTTGTATCTGTATTTGGGAGTTCAGTGTGTTAATCAATTCTGATCAATTTCTAGGCTCAACGTCAAAGGTTCGTTGTACTTCCGAGGATAAGTTGATGATTCAGAAAACCAGGCAGCCAAGGACAAAGAGAGAGGTCAAAGTTGATTTAGAATTCACTAGTTTTCTGGAGGAAAAAATACCTGATGTTTTTTCTCCTCCCAAGAATCCGAAATCATTACTGGTCTCAGAAAATATATCACCTTGCGTTACAAAACTTCCAGAGGACTGGCACTACGAACCAGAGGATCTTATCAATTTATTTCTTTTGCCTCATGTAAAGGTATTTTTTATTAACGTATAGAAAATAGTTTTAAATATCTGTATCCATAGAAATAATTATTGTTTCTCCAATGCTTGCCATTCTTTCTGCAGTGTATTATGAGGAGAGCGAGAAAGGTACCAGGTAAAATACTGTTGTGAGCCCAATAATTTTCTATACATCAGCTAATTCTTTGCTGTCAATTCAGAAGACATTTTAGAGCGTTTTCATCTATTAATATGATTGCGTCTAAAACTCAAGTGTATTGGCAGATGTCTTAGAAGAACAATGCTATAATAACGAACCATTCCCTTCCTGGGATAATGGAAGTGTTTGTGATGGTGATGTCACTGATGTAAATAATGACACGGAAGACTCTAGCACACTTATTTCTCTGCCTCGTCAAGTGGGTTCACAGTTTTTATTGAATACTATACACTGTTGCTCTTGATATATGATTGTATCATAATTCATATATGCAGATGAAAGGATCATATCTATCATGAGATCTAGTATTCCTGTTCATTAATTTTAATTTCAACATACAATTTCTCCAAATATTATTGCACCTCAGCATTCACGTGATTCTTTATTTCCAAATAACACAGATCAATAAAATCGAAGTCCAGTATGACAAAACATCCAAACAAGTCAATGTGCAGGCTCTGAAAATAACACTTTGGGACCATATTCAAGAATGTATTCAACTTCCGTTTCAGGTATGGTAAGGGTTTATCGTTTGTTAAAAGGCTCTGGTTCAAAGTGCATTTCCCTTGTCTAGTTAACTTTCAGTATGATTCTCTCACTAAATAAAATGCTTGTGGATGTTTCTTTCATACATTGTTATGCCAAATTTCTTCTCCATTAGTCTTTCATTGTTAATGCTGAATGATTTTGCTTGACTATTCTATGTGCATGGATGATTAATTGCTTTTCTTTCCTGTTCTTTGATGTTGAGTGATAAGTTTTAACTGCTTTATTGCTTTGTTAAAGGGTCACAGAGAAAAGGTATCTTTCAGGCATATATTGACAAACTTTCCAAGTAAATGTAATGCTGCTGCAACTATTAGTGACATATCTCCACATTTGTGTTTTATATGCCTATTACATTTGGCTAATGAGAAGGGGTTGAGCATCCAAAGTTGCCCCAACTTGGATGATCTTAGTATATGCCTACTTGATGATGGTGCCACTACCACCAGAACAATTTAGATACTGCTTCATTCAACTATAGCTTCACTTCAGGAGAAAGGAAATATGTTGACTAGTTTATGTGCAGTTCCAGTTTGTTTGCTTGCTCTGATACTTTAATTTGTTTGCAGAAAGTGCTCATATTTTTTGTTCATAGGCAATAACTCGTTACCTATAAATTATATAACGTTTTTAGGATATTAGATTGTAAATAGTAGGTTTTGGATTTGAAACGATGATAAAATATTGGTGAATTTGAATTAACTTCTAAAAGAAGAAATTAAAATAAATCAAGAAGGAAAAATAATCAAATTATTCTTTGACGAACTCTAAGTACTTCACTTTATAGAGATACTAAATTGGTATTTTCCAAAATATTAATGCATTTAATTAAATTTAATTTTGAGATGATTGAATGAACTTTTGGATTGTTGCCGTGAAATGTATGTTAAGGAGAGAAAAGAGTGTGGAATGTTTTTAATTGAGAGTGACTAGATTGAGAGTAGTATGTAGTCTCTCTTTAAGTTGGAATTTTAATTCATAGTATATATTGTTTTTTTAAACATTTTAAAAATTATTCGTAGTTAATTAAAGTTCATTCTAAAAAAATTGCTTTTAATTTTTTTGTACGAAAATAAAAGTATAGCTAAAATATGAAGTAAAACATATTTTTTTTGTAAAACATATTCAAAATATGTAAAATATATGCTAAATTTTAGTTATTATTAGTTTAATGTATTTTTTTTGTGTAATTTCTTTGAAAGTATAATTTTTATTAGTATATAAAATCAGACATTTCATATAACTTATAGAAAATAAGTAAAAAAACATTTAAAATATTTTTAAACTTTTATTTCTTTTATGATTTCTAAAAATTATTTTTTAATTTTATGAATTTTGTTTGATTAAATTTTGTAAATTTAATAAATATTTTGGTTCTTATATATATAATTATAATTTTTTTCTAAATATTTAATATTAAAAAAACGTATTTTTATATTAAATATTTGATAATATCGTATTTTCTTTACTTATATGTTCTTATTTTTTTTAAATTACTTAATTGAAACAGTAAAAGAAACGAACTCATACATGAATGGTTGGGATGAAGATTGAAAAAAATGTTATACATGTTGAATACGGATATAGATATTTGGATGAATGTTTTTATTTGAAAATAAATATGAGATAATAAAGCTTTTGTCACTCCGTCACCATTCATAGTCATTAAACTAAATGCATTTTTTTTTCTTGAATAAAAAGAAATTTTCTGTTCATTTTTTTTCTCATTTTTTCACATCTACTTTTTTTTCCTCTTTAATTTTTTGTTAGTTTAGAATTTAATCCAAATCAAATTATCATAACTTCAAAATGATTGTACTCCACCTTCAGTCAAGTCTATCTCTCAAAAACACAAAAATCGGTTTCAGAAAATCAAAGAATGACAAAAAAGAAGTAAAAAGATGTAGGAAGAGAAGCTTTGAGGAAAATAGAGCATTAAATTAATAGTAATGAATAAAATTACGGATAGTCAATAATAAAGATAAATCAATTAATTTATTTCTCAATAATTTTTTTCTATTTAACTTTTATTTATTTTTTCACTTTTCACTTCTACTTTTTCTATCTGAAGATTAAAATCTACGTCTTTATATAAAGGAGTTATAGTTTGATGTTCACATTTTGTTTTTCAGTGTTATCTTTTAATAAACAATTATTTTAAAATTAAAATAATTAACTTATCAAGCTTGTCTGTTCAATGACTCTGTTTTATAAATTTAATAATATTTTTTATCTGATATTTTTTAAATTAAAATAATTATTTATAATTAAAATTACTATAAAATAAATAAAGCTTACTTTTATGGTAAAATATATTTATATTAATTTATTATTATTTTTATTATAATAAAAATAAAACCACACATACTATACGATTTAATTATTATAATAAAAAACGTGCACGTGTTTTGAGAAGGAAAAATATCATCGTGTATTGTTAGGGTGTGCTTTTTGTGAACACATTTAACGTGGCTTATAGGTAGAGACAGGACACGTCACTGAACAGACGTAAAGGCGGAGACACCCTTATCACAACATGTTGGCACTCCCATGAGAAAACAAAAACAAACCAATAATAATCATAAATATCTCATAATAACAATAATAAATATCTTTAACTCTTCATTTCTGCTCATTATTACATCAAAGCAAAATTATCACCACTGCCTTCCCTTCACCATGTCATTATCACCTCCATCTCTGGTAACGGCAGCGATCGCTGCAGATCTTCCGATCCGCCAGATTCCGGGAAGCTACGGGTTCCCGTTGCTGGGCCCCTTATCGGACCGACTCGACTACTTCTGGTTCCAGAAGCCGGAGAGCTTCTTCAAGAACCGAATGGAGAAGTACAAGAGCACGGTGTTCCGCACCAATGTTCCTCCCTCCTTCCCCTTCTTCGTCAATGTTAATCCCAACGTCATCGCAGTTCTCGATGTCAAATCCTTCTCCCACCTCTTCGATTTCGACCTCGTCGACAAGAAGGACGTTCTCGTCGGAGACTTTGTTCCCGACGTCAGCTTCACCGGAAATATGAGGGTCGGCGTCTACCAGGACCCCTCCGAACCTCAACATTCCAAGGTACTCTTCTTCTTCTTCACCTACTCATTCAATTTTTGATTCTGAATTGTTAATTTGCGCAATTTAGCCCAATAAATTGAAGTTTCAGTTAGATTTTTTGTGTTAGGGAAATACTGCTTTTCACTGCCAAGAAATTATAACAAAAGGAAACTGTTGAATTATCTGTTTTAGAATGATAATCATAATATTAAGGCTTAATTGCTTTGGTTTGTCCAGTTTGGTTGGAGTATGTCAATTTTATCAATAGTAAAATTAAAATTTATCTCAAGTCCCTTCTGTTAAGGCGTTAACTTTTATCTCTCCTGCTCTTATGTGAAGTCTTTCTCAGTGCTATCAATGTTGTTTTGTCGTTGGATTATATTCACGTTAGTTATTCTTTGATTCGTCAAACAATCAATTATATTAATAATTATTTTTATAATAAATTATAATTTTATATACTTTAGGATTAAATATATTTTTATTCCTTAATTTTTAGTGAAATTTGGAATTAGTTCCTCTTCAAAACTTTGGTCTAATTTAATCCCTAAACTTTAAAATGTGTGAATTTAGTCTTTTGAACTAAATTTTATTAAATTTATTTGATGTTTTAAGTGCGTTTCATGATAGCATTTAGGTTGTTTATACCATTTGACACATTTTTGCTTCAATGTTAACTGAGAAATACGTTTGAAACATCAAATAAAGTTAACAAAATTTGATTAAAAGGACTAAATTTACACATTTGTAAAGTTTGAGGACTAAATTAGTCCAAAATTTTGAAGAGAGACTAATTCCAATTTTCACTAAAAGTTAAGGATTAAAAACATATTTAACCCTATACTTTATTATTAAATTTGATAACAAATATGTATAAAAAAAATAAAATATAAAAAATTTAGATATATTAAAATTTATAAAAATCCTAGTATTTTGTTTAATTTTACCTTGCTTTGATATAGAGATTTTTCAAAAGATATATTTAAATATATTAATAATATTTTTAATTTAATATATTAATAATATTTTAATGACTTTTTTTTACATTTTAACATAAAGTAATATATATGTTAAAATTTTAGTAAACAAAATATATTTTATTATAAAGTAAAATAGGTTACAAAATATATTTTGGATATTGTAAAATAANCGAACTCATACATGAATGGTTGGGATGAAGATTGAAAAAAATGTTATACATGTTGAATACGGATATAGATATTTGGATGAATGTTTTTATTTGAAAATAAATATGAGATAATAAAGCTTTTGTCACTCCGTCACCATTCATAGTCATTAAACTAAATGCATTTTTTTTTCTTGAATAAAAAGAAATTTTCTGTTCATTTTTTTTCTCATTTTTTCACATCTACTTTTTTTTCCTCTTTAATTTTTTGTTAGTTTAGAATTTAATCCAAATCAAATTATCATAACTTCAAAATGATTGTACTCCACCTTCAGTCAAGTCTATCTCTCAAAAACACAAAAATCGGTTTCAGAAAATCAAAGAATGACAAAAAAGAAGTAAAAAGATGTAGGAAGAGAAGCTTTGAGGAAAATAGAGCATTAAATTAATAGTAATGAATAAAATTACGGATAGTCAATAATAAAGATAAATCAATTAATTTATTTCTCAATAATTTTTTTCTATTTAACTTTTATTTATTTTTTCACTTTTCACTTCTACTTTTTCTATCTGAAGATTAAAATCTACGTCTTTATATAAAGGAGTTATAGTTTGATGTTCACATTTTGTTTTTCAGTGTTATCTTTTAATAAACAATTATTTTAAAATTAAAATAATTAACTTATCAAGCTTGTCTGTTCAATGACTCTGTTTTATAAATTTAATAATATTTTTTATCTGATATTTTTTAAATTAAAATAATTATTTATAATTAAAATTACTATAAAATAAATAAAGCTTACTTTTATGGTAAAATATATTTATATTAATTTATTATTATTTTTATTATAATAAAAATAAAACCACACATACTATACGATTTAATTATTATAATAAAAAACGTGCACGTGTTTTGAGAAGGAAAAATATCATCGTGTATTGTTAGGGTGTGCTTTTTGTGAACACATTTAACGTGGCTTATAGGTAGAGACAGGACACGTCACTGAACAGACGTAAAGGCGGAGACACCCTTATCACAACATGTTGGCACTCCCATGAGAAAACAAAAACAAACCAATAATAATCATAAATATCTCATAATAACAATAATAAATATCTTTAACTCTTCATTTCTGCTCATTATTACATCAAAGCAAAATTATCACCACTGCCTTCCCTTCACCATGTCATTATCACCTCCATCTCTGGTAACGGCAGCGATCGCTGCAGATCTTCCGATCCGCCAGATTCCGGGAAGCTACGGGTTCCCGTTGCTGGGCCCCTTATCGGACCGACTCGACTACTTCTGGTTCCAGAAGCCGGAGAGCTTCTTCAA